AAGCAGCGTCTCTAGGTAATCATTCCAAGAAATGTTTGGAAATGCTTCACTAAGAGCATCCAGAGTGTAAAGATTGTACGTCAGCTCATAATTTCTCAGTTCTTCACCGGGCATTGTTGCTATTGCCAATGATACCTCCAGTTGAATGGCCTTCGTCGTCTCCTGAAATTGTTGTGCTAGTTTGCGTGCGCACTGGGAAAGCATTCACTCTGTGTGCTTCCATCACTTTCAGTTATTTCTCACTCACTGAGTTACTATAAGCTCCTTCCCGACTAAACTGAATTCAAGAAGAAAGGAGGTTCCAATATTACCCGACTGAGTCAAGCTCATTTATTTCGAAACTCAAACTAAAGAAGATCTGTGAACTGCACACAAAAATGTCTCTTTTGAAACTCTTTTTCATTTCAAAAAGCGTGTCGTTATGGACTGTTTAAGTCGCTATTTAAGAGCATTCTCACCCAATGAATGAATAATTGAACAAATAAATGTAAAAGATAACACTGAGAATGGTTTCGTCACTGGCAGGTGATTGGATATCAGTTCTGAACTGTTTTACGGCTTTTATCATGTTATCCCTGTAGAGATTCAGCTCGCTGATGAATTGCGGTTTCACGTAATAATCACGTGACATCGATAGTGGCAACTGAAATGCATTTGCGCTGCCTAGCTAATGCATACTTTGAAAAGCCAAATTTGAAAATAATCCACTTTTTTAGCACATTTTTCGTTTTTTTTAAGCATGGCGTAAGTGTTGTTTTCTTCTTTCCTGGGAGGAGGAATGTGGCTAAAAGTGAGAAAACTATATTGACAAAGTCTGAAAAGATACGGTGTATAAGAACGCAACTTTTCAGCTTTGCGCAAAAAGAAAATTAAGGGAGTGCCAAAACGCCCACCAGCTTTATTCGAAGTAACCCGAGAAGAGGAACTGTTTGTACGAAAGCCTTGCCACGTGCCCCAGTTCGGACTAGTTTCGTTTGCTGTTGATTCTTACAACAAGCAAACTGCGGGAAAGTTTGAGTTCGATTTTGATTTGACTTGGAAAAACGAGAAATTATCAATAACATATAATTTTTAGAAACTGCTTAATCAGTTTCTCTAGAGAAATCTGGGATTGCATCGAAAGCAATAACTATTTCACTGGTTCTCAGAGCTAAAAATAGGTGGCAAAAGCACTGATAGTGAATGATTCCGTCGTGCTTTGATTTGGCACATTTTCATCACCAACTAGGTTCGCAAACGGAAGGAATGCTGCGATCGCTTTGATAGTATGTTTTGCCAGCCAAGAACGATGAGTTCCAATTCGCCTTCAGTGTTTCTACAATTAGTTACAGTTCATAGCTAGTTCTACAAAGTGCAGTTCCTAACTTCCCCGGTTTATGGATGAGCGATATAAATTTGGGAGAAGACAAAGATTTCTTGGGATGAAGAAGTGAATGTGTGTCACACTCGCCAATCAGGGGTTTCACGCTAGAAATTTCCCTGATGATGGACAGACCTTCTTGTGGCGAGATGCTTCTCTCTACTACCAGAGATTCACGTAAACAATCCAGGTGCAAGTAATCCCCCTGATATATTCATATTAGTGGTAATTCGGCATTTTCGGCTTATGCTGGTTGCCTGCTGAAGTGCGGGTCCGTCGAATCAGTATGATTAAAGCAATTCACCTGATCCAAGTACAAGGCGTTGCGGCTGACGTTCCTGTAGTCAACAGTGACCATTGACTGAAGCAACGTGGAGAGGCCGTAGTGGAGTTCGAGAGTAGCAATTGCTTTCCACATTTTGCCATTCGACAAAGATTCTTCCTTCCAATCCTTCTCCAACATTGGGAATCCATTTGTTCTGAATGACGATTATTTGCAAAATGTAACATACACTTAAAATTTGGTAGATAGATTTTCCTAGAATTTCAGATAGGATTATTAGCAAAATTTAAAAATTTAATGATAGACGCCGAGTATACTACGCCTTAATGAACAGTGAGAGCTTTTGAAATAAGCTACACACAGATAAATTGGATCGTTTTGTACTTAATACGTGTGGTAGACAAATCAGCGCAAAATCAGCTCAAATTTCAGATTTCTTCAAAAGGCATGAAAAAAAAGAGTGCGAACGAACAAGTTCTTCATGATCTGATAGATTTCGTTCGATTTATCTGCTCCTGGCTTCTGATTTGCTGCTCTACATGTATCAAATACCTGCAATTAGCACTCATAAATTCAGAATTTTTAGGCAAAATGGGAAAAGACCAAAATACCATTGAAATTTCCAGAGAAATAACTAGCATGTAATTCTCGAAAAGAAACACCTGCACTTTTGCTTCCACGTGTGCTACGCTGCTAGTGGACGGACTACTGTTTATCGCCGAGGATCATTCGGGGAAATATTAATATGAAACAACAGCAGCAAAATTTACCTTTTTGAGGACTTCCTTTGCTGTAGACGTGGTCTGAGAAGTGGCATTCAGTTTCTTAGCGATGGCTTCGTTGATGAGTTTCTGTGTTTGGCCGTATGATAGTGTCTGCGGTGGGTTGTTTTTAATGAATGTGTTACAAGCGAACGCGTAAAAATCCTGGCACGGATCAACACTCAGATCCAGTCCTTTCAATAAAAAGTCTGCAGCATCCTAAAAATTTCTCTGATCTTTGAGGCACTGGTTCTTCTGGTTTTTTTCCTTCGAAGCATTCGATAGGATCTATCTTCATAACCGAAAAAATCCACTGCTTAGATTTCGAGATTCTTGATGTTAATATGAAGAGATGAAAAAAAAGCAGTAATTGGCAGTGCAAGCATTCTGAAAGATAACCTTAAATCCAGGTTCTTTTGATACAGTACCAGGTGGAGCCGTATGTAGAGTTGCTGGTGCCGGAGTAGTGTGTGGTGAAACTTCCTGTTTTGTAAAGATGAGCACATTGAGAACGAGATTCACTATGGCCAAACAGACTGCCAAACCGACAAGAACTGAATGTATTTGCAAAAATTATTCGAGAAAAAAATTCTTCCCCTTCGATCAGTGCTGAGAAGATATGCTAGGAACCGAAGCTCCCTTCAATTTTTGGTGCTTCGCAAAAGACTCACTAAGGCGAGCGAACACAGTTCTCGTGGCTGTAAGCGTGGCTACCTATTGCCTGTAGTTTTATTTTTCAAGTTGTCTGTGAGTTTTGCAAAAGCCCTACTCCTGCACTGAAACTATAAACATAGAGTTTATGGAAATTTATAGGATTTGAAAACCAGTGGCATTCTGCCTCTTTGATTGCTGTTACTAATTTAGCTTTTAGGCTTCTGTGGCGCAATATGTCTGTAAATTGAATTTGCGTCCGCAAAATTTTGGTATCCTGACTGGACGTTCATTGTGAACTGTTAGGCATACTTCTTTGGTGCACGGTTTTGGACTTTTATTGTTCTCCAGAG